AGGTGAGGTTCGGTCGAACTTTTGAGTGCTGATTCATTTAGGGTGAACATTTTAGGCATTCGCCAAATTTCCAACATTAGGATGACTCCCCATAGTTTTAGGATGAATTCACAAACTTTCACCATATTTTAGGAATATTTTAGGATGAATTCCATTTGGGGCCATTTTCGTAGGTTTGCCCTCGGCCCTGCTGACCGCCAGGAAGCCACACCGCGGCTTGAGATCAGCGAGCATTCGCGGAAGCTGGCCGTGAGCCGAGCTATTTAGGCTTTTTGGGGTTCGGCAGAATGGGAACCCCAGATGAATAAACCCCAGTTAGGGTGTCCACTAGTTGGGATTCATCACATTTCATCACTATTGGAGGGACACCCCTCTATGAATCGGACCGGTTATTAATCCGGGGTCGACCTTAGGTGTCTTTTCTGGCTGCGGTAGAACATATAGATGCCGGTTCCTGGTTGGCCTGGTTGTTTCATCTACCAGGTCGTTGTCTTTTACACCCCCCAACTAATATGGAAGCTTTCAGGACCCGCTTGGAAGACTTGGTTCCATTTACAGAGGCCTTTTGGGAGCTCCCATGTTAGTCCGAGGGAGTGTACCAAAAGGACACCGACTGGTTCGGGGTTTCGGGGCTTGGGGTTCAATTCGGCTTGTGGTGTTTGGGATTTGGCACTTCGGAATTTTAGTCTGCGGTGTTTTAGGCTGGGTGCGCAAAAGGATGGATCGTTGTTTGGTTCCAGGCCCCCTACTCATCCCTACTCGCATTTTACACCAGTTCCCCCGTTGCGCGATGGATTCCACCCGCATACGCGCATCGCAACAAGCTCACCTGGAGATAAAACGGAACTTGCCCATGATGAAGACCCCTTACTTGCGGAATCCTGCTTTCCAGTTTGTGAACTGGCAGTTTGACCAGACCCTCATCCATGTTTGTTTGGCGGGTTTGAGACCTTAAAATGGATTCAACTCTAACAAGAATTGGTTCCAAGTCTTTCTTGGATTCGGAGGCGCAAGCATGTTTTACCATCCCCACCCCCGAGAGGTGGTGGAGGCACGTTTTTTTTTTGGTCCCAGAGGCTGAAGATTTTGACCTTTAATCAGTTTCCCCTTTCGGGCGATGTTTGGTGGCCCCAGATATGAACGCGTTTGCGCATGGGAGCATTAGTTTGTGGGGCTGTTGCCTTCTTGGCTACTGCTTGGACGGGTGTGGGGGGGTGGGGGCGCCTGGAATATCCTGGAATTCCCAAACATGCGGCTCTTATTGGGGTGTTTCAAGGTGGGACTAGATGGGGAGTTGGGGCGCCTTGACGGCAGCCGCCTCGCGCCTGACCTGCACTTGGCCGCTTTCCCGAGGCCGGGAAAGTCAAGCGCGGGTGCCCAGATTTACGGCCATGCCAGGGGGTTGCGTTGTGATCATTGTTTTTTGGGGAAAAGAACTTCACTTCCCCTTTTAGTGGACTGTAAACTTTGGCAGGTCATTTTAGTGAGCAACAAGTCCGGATTTGTCCAAAGCGATCCAATTAGGAAGTGAGGGATGGGGGCCCTAAGCAGTCGTCGCAGTCCTGTCCCTTGATTTTGCTGGCAATGAGGGGTATGTGCTTCGGGCCTGAGCTGCGCCGAGATGTTTCTCTCCTGTCGCGCCTTCGTGAAACTCAATTGTTCGGCAACACCCGTCTTCCCTTTCTGTTTGCTGGGCTCACTGAAAAAGTATCCCGGAAAGGCACTCTTTTTCTCCCTGGTCCAGTGAAGGATCTGGTGAGATTTGTCCTTTGCTTCTTTGACTTTTCGGCCGGGTCCATACGTCACGAATTGAAGCCAGCCCACGGCACTTAGAATTCTCACTTGTCTCAAAAGCGGCCTGAAATGGTCCGTTGGTTTCATGTTGGCCCCTGTTTGGTCGCAACCTGGTTGGATTGGGTCCTTCGGACAGGTGAGAACCTTCGAACGGGAGTTTGAGTGGGAAGCTTCCTTTCCCTGCTTTCCTTAGTGTTGGGCTCATCTTCCAAAAAGGGGGGTGTCCCGGGCTGTCCTTTTGTGTTTTGGGTGCCCCTGAATGTCACCGGGCCCCCTATTGCGTTGCCTTGAGCCAAGATTCTCAACGAACGCAACGGCAGAGAGAGCGAGCGAGAGGGGGAGCCCAACTCGAAGGGCAGCCAACCCATTTTTAGGTGCCCTTTGATTCTTTAGTTGAAACGGCCCGTTCTCGGAGGCCGGTTCATGAGCGCCTGGATGACATCTTGAAGGCACCGAGTTTCGGCGAGGTTGGACGCCCGCCCGGGCATCCAGACGGTTCTTGCGGCGGATTTTTCCGAATTTTCCTAAGCCATCCGGCTTGGGGGAGGGAGGGGGGGGTGCAGCAGAGTACGGCTGCCCCTCCCCTGATCCTCCAAAGGCCGGCCGTTTCTCAGGCCTTGTTGCTATCTTGCTTTGCTCATCTGGGAGGAGTGGTTAGGGGAGAAGGGGCTGGAGGCAGCCGCAGCCCAGCTCTACCGCAATCTCAACGCGCAGGCCTTTGCCATCCGCAAAAAAATGCACAGAATTGCGATTTAAAGGAAACCATATCCCTCCCCAAAAGTAAATTTGAGAACTGCGAACTCCTCAAAATGTTCACTGGAAGGGACCCAGCTTGATTGTGGCAGATTTGCCTGCAAGGGGGGCCCCCAAGTGCTTGGTCTCCCCGTGTGTCCCTTAACGCAAACATCGCAGAGGTCTTGCTCAGGTGCTTGAGTAGACCCTTCCAGCAACATGTTTGGGCTTTTGCCTAGAGCCCTCCGCTAAACATACGGAGGACAGTGCAGCATGCTTCACTCTAAACAGTGCATGCCCTGAATATGGTTGGCCGATTGGTTGCTTCATTTCCTTCATAATCGCCCAAAAGGAGGTCGCCATATTGCTGAACGCACCCATACCATATCCCCATGGGAGATCCTTGATTTTATTCCTCTTGCGCGAATTCTAACACCACCTTGAAAGGCAAATTGATTATTAATTTGGTTAGTGTTGTCTTTGTGGTTGATATTTTTCGGTTAGCTTGCCTTGTCCGACGCATCAACCAAAAAGGCAATGGGCCTAACGGTCTTCTTGGAGAGTCCCGTTTTGCCAATGAAATGCCAGGTCCTAAACCAGGGCTTCTCTTCACATCCATCCACACGGGGTCCCTGGTCCCCTGGTTTATCTCTTGGACACACCTTGCATTCCACGTAGATTTGGGGGGGTTGGCCTGCTGCAGCATGCGGCCAGGGCAGGGAGAAGACTCGGGCGCAGGCTCGTGCAAAGCAAGAGGAGATGGAGATGAAGGCGGGGTTCAGCCAGATGAAAGGTCCCTTGGTGGAGCTGGTTCGAAGCTTGAGAAGCAACCCGCAGGAAATTCAGACTTTGTGCGTCCCCCTATTTTAATTTTGATGCATACCCACGTCTGGCCCCAACAACCGATGTCTATGGAAATCTGTAGCGAGCTCACCGATCCAGTGACCCATGACGTGGGTCCTTTAATCCCTTGCCCCTAAGAATAAACGACGCCACCCCCCCAAAAAAAAAACGGACAGCAAAACAATTTGTATTATTAGGGGTCCCCTGGATCTGGAGTCAGGTTTTGGAGGTGCCTCTTGTTCTGTGTAAGCTTGTCTGCAACTGTGGTCCCCCTGTTCCGGTCTGAAAAATCGCATCAAACGTACATTTCCGAGTAAGGAATTGTAATTAGTTGGCACAGCCTGCCAGTAGTAAGGAAACGTACTCCCGGAGCTCTAGCTCGAAAGTCGCAACTTTGTAGTACAGCCATAGTAAAGGAAACGTACTCCCAGAGTTCTGGCTCGAAAGTCGCAACTTTGTAGTACAGCCGTAGTAAAGGAAACGTACTCCCAGAGTTCTGGCTCGAAAGTCGCAACTTTGTAGTACAGCCGTAGTAAAGGAAACGTACTCCCGGAGCTCTGCCTCGAAAGTCGCAACTATAGTACAGCCATAGTAAAGGAAACGTGCTCCCGGAGCTCTGGCTCGAAAGTCGCAACTTTGTAGTACAGCCGTGGTAAAGGAAACGTGCTCCCGGAGCTCTGGCTCGAAAGTCGCAACTTTGTAGTACAACCGTAGTAAAGGACACGTGCTCCCGGGTCCCCCTAATGGGGCTGGATTTGAGTACGGGCAGTTTAGCGTTGGCTATTCTGAAAGTAGTATTCCCGAATTTGGGACTTCTGAAACAATTTGGTATTATTAGGGAGGCCGTTATTGATTACTGGGATCAGGAAATCACAGCGGGGGCCAGTTGGAAAATCACCCAAACAGCTGATTTGAGAAAACACATGTGGTTTTGGATGTACCAGAACCCTGTGGCGAGCGCTCAGCTGACCTATTTCACCAGTCAGGTTGATGTCGTTTCCGGGGTCCGTATCGAGACAGGGCCCCCCATACTTCCCGCAATAGGCGGTTTTCAACCTCACTTTTGGAAAGGATTGTTACTTGCCGAGTTTCCGGCTGGTGATGAATTTTGCTTGAAGATATGGAGAACCAATGCCTGGAAGCCTGCTTGGATTTCTGAATTGCCTTTGCTCGGGGTTTCCTAGTTCCTCCTGTGGTTTCCTGTAGGGTGATGTTAAAAGTGTTTAAAGCTGAAACATATGCAACTGGGGCTGGGGATGCCCAACGCCAGGATGCGACCCTTCGGCCCGCCATTTCCGCGAGGCGGCTTGGGACATGGGTTTTTTTGAGGGTGTGTTTTTTTGTGGGGACTCACCCCCTTCAGGATAGTGGTTGTCATTTTTAAAACCATCAAACAGGTGCCCTTGAACAAGTCCATTTGTCCCTATTGATCATGAGACAATTTGGTTTAATAGGGCGCCCGGCCTGTTCGATTTGTTTTTGTTCGCCCTTGTGCCGCTGTTGAGGGGTTGCAACCAATGTTCAACCATTCTGGCGGTTCCTTTCGTTGAGACACACTCATGTCTTTGTTGGGCGGATTCACCCACCTTAGCGAAAGAAGAAGTGGTTTCAGTCGTTTTCTTTGCAAGAAGCCCCACAGGTAGTGCGAGTGGCTGGCAGGGTCAACGCAGCTGAGAAAATCTACTCACTCGCATGTTGACCTGACCGGGGCTGCGGAAATTGCAACTGCTGAGGGGAGGTTCTTCCGGTCGTGACAAGAACCACTACTACCCTCCCACCTAGCATGGCGGCACTTGCATGCCCAATTTGTGCTGAGCTCTTGGGCATATGGGCTCACGCATGGCTTAAGGGATCCTTTGTCAGGTGTCCGCTTGTTCTTCGCTGTTTCCAAATTCCAGCTTGCGAATGGTGGCCATGGCAGATGGCAGATGAATAAACTCCTGATTGATCAATTGGAGTGGCTGGCTTCTTTTGGAGCTTTGCGCCCGAATGAATCTAGCAATTCATTGTTTACATATTGGTGGCCCATGTGTGTGTGGGCCAACGAGTAAGACCGGGAAAGCCCAGGTGAGTGGCTGCTTGCATGGATCTGTTTTTGCTTGACATGAGAATTTCAAGACCATTCTAAAGTATTCTAATGTAGGATCTACCTCTTTGGTTGCACACGTGTGCTTTCAACCTCTCACCAGAGATGTACTTTCATCTCGGCCAGTGAGAGCCCAGGACACAAAGCAGGACCTACCCCGCAGAAAGGATCTAAGAACTCCAAGAACCCTCTAAGGACCCTATGATTGTTCTTCGCAGGGGGTGGGGGGTTCCTGAATGGTCAATCACAACCCCCCCAACTTATCAATCAGGGTTCCATTTTAGAGTGGATTCCTTTTTGGCTGCTCCCATCCACGAACCTGGAACCTGACTGAAAAGTCCTGGAAGACTATTTTCCATTCTGTCGGACCCTCTGGTGGGTTCCCATGTTGGTGGACAGGGGGGTGCTGCATCAGGTTTTTGCGACCTCGAAAAAGGCGTCACCCCGGTCGCAGGGCCATGAAGATGGAGCGTCGCTTTGAGGATCACCAGAGCCGGGGGCCAAGTCACGAGCCACGAGTCCGGCGTGGGCAAGGGGGCCCAGGTCCATGGCATGACGATGACCCACCCACCTCCAGTAGTTTGCCTCCTTTATTTTTTTTGGGGGGTTAGAGCAACCAGAAACACATGTGCCCCTTGGTTTCCCATCGCCGCTGGAAGTTTGGGCCAACTTGGAAACGGATATTTTCTTGTGAGGCTTCCCTATTGCAAGACCAACCCCGACGTGCCACATGTTTCCGGTGACTTAAGGTTGGTGGGCTTGGACTACGTTTAGGTGCAGAGTCGGAGTCTATTGTGCAACTTGTTTTTTTTGGTATTAGTTGTGCCGGGTTTGTAGCGCTGAGGGATGCCATAGTTAGTCATGGATTTGTTTTTCCACAAGCCAGCGGGCAGCTCGAAAACATTTCCTCAGACCATGTGCCGAACAAAACATGGATGGGCTTTCCTGGTGGTTTTCGTTTTTCTTACAGCTACCTGTACTGGGAACCCTCCAACAAAAGTCAAACCTTTGTCCTGGGGAGTGGAGTAGTTGCTTCCGACACTGCATGTTAGCTTTCAACTCCAAGATGCTCGTCAGTTTCCCCTTGCACAGGCTTAAGACATGGAAATTGGCCATTTAAGATATCGCCCTTTCAGCTTGTTGCACTATCCCTTGGCCCTTTGACGTGGCATGCCCAATTTTAACCAAGCACCAGTGGTCCTCACTCATTCAAATCCAAACTTTTTGAATCTTTAGGGAATGGGAGGACTGTTGGAGAGCTGCAAAAATGAGCTTTCATTTTCTCGGGGCTTGGAGTAGAGGCTTGGGAACGCCACTCAGGTTGGAAGGAGAAGCGGGACAAGCGGATAGGAGAGGAGCAACTGGCGCAGTACCAGAAGCAGCTGCCTGAGCCCCAGAGGACAAGCTCTCGACCTAAGCTTTCGGCATTTTGCAGATTCCAGTCTCGGGCCCCGTAACTTTTGGGAACCTCCCTTGGGATCCGAATCCCAGTTTGAGAAGCTGTGTTCTGCCAAGGTGCCCAAAAGGAAGGGGCTACCATGATGTAAATTCTTTCCCCGCGAATTTGCAAACCCAGTCCAGCAAAGCCAACGCGGCACAGCTCCCGAACAAGACATTCTTGAGGCCATTCGACTGCCGCCCTGTCCGCACCGGATTGGTTTGCCACCTGCCGGTCGCCACAAATATGCAAACCGCATTGTTTAGTCCCGTTTGCCCGTTTGGTTTTCCTTCATGTTGTTTTGTTCACCCAGCAAAGGGCATTACACACACGCACACTATGTTATATATATATATATATGACATGGCAGGAGGACTAAGTTTAGCCAAGTTTGGTTGGACCTTTGATCGTTTGCATCATGCGGGTTTGTCGCTGTGAGTTTGTCTCAAACTCGGGGAACCTCCCATACGGATCCCTTAAAATACCGTCAAAAAATACAAACACATCCATGTGGGTGTTTAGCCGCTAGATAGCCAAAGAGTCATGTTTTCATGGGCAGACAACAGCCATCAAGTTAAGAAACCCCTTGAGGAGGAATCGCAGGCTTCCCATTTCCATGGGATCACTTCATTTGTTGCGTGACCAACGCGCTCATAGACCTGGCAGGACACCTCTTTTTTTCTGCTGGAAGTACAGTTGATTTTTTTTGGGGGAGTTTGGTTTCCTTGAAGCCGAGCGGAATCAACCTGCGCTTTTTGCTTTACTCGTTCGAACTTTTGGCCCCACATGTCGCCAAAGTTGTACCTATCCTGGACCTCCAGTGAGGGCAGGTTCTTTTTCCCGGGTTTGATCAATCCGGGGTTGACATGAGCATAACTTCAGCTACGGAGAAACAAACCACTTGCAACGGGAACCCCGAAAAACATCACATACAATTGGTTGCTGCGAGGGCGGAGTGCACCTTCAAGCCGCAGATCAACAAAATCTCCGACACCATGGCCAGGAAGACCGAGGCGAGTGCGAAATTCGCCTGGCCCCGACATTTGCGGATCCGTTTCTTCAAAACAGTCAAAGGAACTCAAAGAGCTTGGCTAGTGGAACTGGCTATCAAAGGTGGACTAAACAGGGTAAAAAACAGGGAAACTGATGGGATGGTGCTAGTCCTAATTTTGGGTGGTGAGGCAGGTTCCTGGAGGATTCTTGGTTTCAAAGGTTCCCGCGGCTACACCAGGGAAGTACTCCATTTAATCATATGACAGAGGGCGTGATGCCAGGGTGCAATGCGACATCCGAAGATAGCGAACGCAGTCCTACGGAGGGGTCGGCAGTTCCATAGTGGATTTGCCCGAAAAAACCCTGGACTTGCTGTTTACCGCCAATCCAAATGTTGATCTTTCCAACAAGTGGCTAAAGTCCACTAGGTCTGAGAAAGGGGCACCCAAACAAAACAACTCATGGAATTTGACTAAGGCTAAAGGCTTAGTTTTTGGCAAAGTCCTCGAGGGTAAAGTCGATTGACATCCTCAGAAGTACACTCGGAGTGATGGTTTAGAGGACCCCCCCAAAAAAAAAACAGCAAGCAACAACAAGGAGAGAACGAGTCCGTTTTTGTTGAGAACCCCTCAAAATGTTGACTTTCAGCGGCCCCCAGTCCCAATGTCAGTTTTCAACAAAGTGCCCAGCCAGCTTGAATCCTTCAACGCCGAGCCGCAGGCCATAAGCTTCCGTTCCGGAAAGCGCGCCAGCCTCGGTGCTCGCAAATAGGACGTGTTTTCTGTTGCCGCAACCGTTTTGACCAAGTCGTGTGTTTTCAAAAGGGTTTGCCTTTGCGGCAACCCGTTGTGTGGTCATGTAACATCTCCTCTTTTTGGTTCTGCCCCAAAGGCGATCCCATTGGGAATCCCATGTTTAGTCTACAGTTTTCAAAGCTGATCGAAGCTTTTCGTAGGCAGGTGGCAGGTGAGCCAGTACTTCAGCAATGGAAATGGGAGCCATGTGAAGCTTATGCCTCTTGATGGTCCTTAGTGGCTCCTAACACAGACGGGGAGAGCAAGAGGGAGAGTCACGGTGTTTTTGGGCTGCCGCAGCTTCCCTTATTATGGCTCAATCAGTACATGAAGTGAGAGTTCGCTGAAACTTGCTTGAAACGGGAAGCCGAAGACAAACGCTTTGGGTTCGAGCCGAGGTAGATATCCAATTTGCCTGAGGCTTCCGTATGACTGTTGCAACCTGTTATGCAATTGTGGCATGATCTGGTGTCATTCTTTGGCTGAAGTACATTGAAGTTGCAGGAGTCTAAGGCGTTAAACCGAAACCACTCGTGACGTTGGCCCCTGCTCACCAAGGCCCAGGTGGGTGCGCCAAGGCGTGCCTAGGGACTGTTCTTAGTCGCTCTGTGGATTCGACCCTTCTTCCCGGCAGTGAAAGTGAATGGTGCAATTCCCTCCATGGGGGTATGGAAGGGGATGACTAAACCAACATGATGCAATTGCGCCATCTACTTCACCTAACTCGAAGCTGCCGACTACAGCTGGAATCAACCAAATCCAGTCGCTGGGCAACCGGGGATGGGTTTGAGGATGGGTTTGAAGCGTGGTCAAAGACCAGCCCACGTTCAACGATCAAAAATGGATGTGCAGGGTTGCATTCGCTTCTTTTGGGTCCGAAGTTGTTGCTTGCCATCAGGTCTTTGCACCCCTTTGCCTCGGTTTGCTGCAGAGAGTTTCTACACCCAGTAGCTCCACTCATGAGCTTTTCAACCCCAGCTAGCCAAGTTGAATAGAAGTGGCCATGAGACGAAAAGCAGATGGGATCCCCTCTGAGCTAGTTTTCTCCAAACTCAGGTCTTGCTGTATTTATGGGCAAAGAATCCGGACACCTGCCACCCGTATAAGTTTAAGCTCAAATTATTTGCTCAGCGACCGATCCAAGGATATGTGAGGGTAACTGGAGATTCCTTTGGGCTTTCGGGCTGCAGCGGGCTTCAACGAGCTCACTGATGAAGGTATTCTTTGATCTTCTTTGGGGTTCCAGTATTTTAACGCATGGCCGCAGCACATGCTCGTTCACGGGGAGTCAGCACGCTTGCAGGCTTGTGAAGGCGAACTGCGGATGCCTCGGCGTGTTCTGCGGGCACAGGAGTTGGAACCATTTTGGTTTTGTCAGGCCCTGGGGCTTGGTATGGAGAACCGGGGTTCCACGCACCACCCGAAGAACTTGCGGGGGCATGCGGGGAGTTTTCCCACTCAGTTTTCCCTGGCTGCCTTTGGTCGAGCTCGACCTCACATTGCATTCTCGATTCTCTGTGCTTTTCCGATTCAGCTGAGTTGCAATCTGCCGTTGAATTCGGAGCCCACTTTCGGGTTTTGTTTTCGGCAGCCAGATTGCACTCAGCGCTACTAGGTTTGCCCCGCAGCCCAGTTTCGCACGTGCCTTTTTCAAAGTGGGCTTGCTTTTTTCGAGCGGTTTCCATATGTTTTCTTCTTGGGGGATCAAAAAGGGGGCACTGTGGGGCAGGTCGCGCACCCGGTGTTGGCTCCCTTTTTTTTGTTTTCTCTGTCGTTGCTCCATATGTTTGCTTTGAAGTATTAGGCTGGGCAGCTGAGACAGTGGGCCCCACGACCCCGAGAAATTCCGGATCACTTTCTCACTCCATGAGTTTCAGGACTTTATGCTTGTTGGGAAGACCGTTTTTTGTGGTACCAATAGAAAGCTTAGATTTTTTGTGGGCCATCCTCTCGGGAAGTGAGTTCTTGGGCCAATCCGAGGTCGGCATACCTAACGGTTTGGCGTTGAGCACCTTGCGGGGTTAGTCTTTCCAGAGCCCCTCCCGTTATTTCGTTCGGCCTTCGCCGGGGGTTATTGCATCTCACTTGCAAAGACCAATGGCAGCATGGCAACTTGAGGGGGAAACCCTTTCAAATGTGCAACTGTTGGGTGGGACATATTGATGACCTCCGGGGCGCGCCTTGCTTGACTGTTTGATGATAACCTTTGTGGCCTTATTTGCTATCTCCGTCATTCTCTTCTGTGAGCCGTGTGCATGAAAAAAACTAGCTATTGGACAAGCGGGTTTTGCAGAAGGCGACCAGTGAAAGGGATGTCATTTTCTCCAGGCCCCGTATCTTCTTTGACAGTCTCTAGAATCTGCACCCTGCCCGTTTCGGCCAGTTGGGCTCCGAGCATCCGGCCGCGTTCTCGTGGCAACCGCTGGCTTCGCATCATGGCGCTCCTGGATCGCCCCATTCGCATCGGCACGGACTGCAGCGGAATGGAGACCCCGGTGATGGCGCTGCAAGCACTCAAGGCGAGAGTCGGATCCCACAAACTGCTCGACTCCTCACAAAACAGCCCTCCCCCCCTTGCCCCTGTTTTCCTACAAGTTAAGAAAGGTCTGCATTTGGGGAAGCAAGGGGGGGAGGGTTTAATCCTAGGCCAGCTGCGTGCATGTCAACAACGAAGCCCCCCGCGATTCCCAATGCGTGGAGAGAATTCGAGATATCTCGCTGGCTTACCCTTAGGGCGCAGATGGAATGGCTTGGTTTCCAAGCGCTCTCGCAGGTGGAGTACGAGCACATGTTTAGCTGCGACATCGATGCGAAGGCAAATGGGATGGGATGGGATGTGAAAGCGGGAGGGGGTTGGGGGGGGATCTTGGGAGGCCTTCTCATTCCGCTGGCTTTTTTTCAGCTTTCAGCTGGGGGAAGCTGAGGGCGTCCGGAAGTGCCAAAGCTGCTATAGCCATAGTTGGGTGGGAGTCAACCTGGTGCTAAATAGCACAGGTGCAATCCCTGTCCCAAATAAATATAGTCCCCGCCACGAGTTCAAGTTGTGAAGACAAGCAATTTGTTAAAAGGAATCTAGGAGTCCCAGGGCCCGCTTAGCCGAGCGCAGAAATCGTGAAACATAGTCCGCGGAGTATGAAACTGATTGTGTTGCTCAAGGTACTCTTTTTTTTGGATGACAATTAACACCACAAGGTACAACTTGGGTTTACAACCAAGAGAAGGGCTGTCAAGTTTAGTATTGGTTTAGTATTGGGTGAACAAAGCAGTAAGTGACTGAGCTTATTATAGGGGTTGACTTATTCATAGCGGGAGCGGATTAAAGAACACAAGCAACAGTGTACGCGTGTTTCAGTTTTCCAGGCCCTGCATTTCCCACTCGGACCACTAAATGGAACCTTACACTCATTCGTGGAGGCCCCTACCTTGGGGCACTCCTTTTTGGGATCCATACTGAACAGTCGGAAAACAACTCACAGATTGAGTTCCAAGACTTTCGTCACTTTTTTCGTATGGACTGTTTCAGTGGTAAATAAGAACAGGTCGGGCTGTTTTGGGCCATCCACTCGTGAGACAAAGGAGTCAAAGATATGTGGCCGCTCGGAAGTCGGAAGGTGAAGCAGCAGGTCCTGGCCAACTGGGCGCCGCAGGCGGGAGGGCGGGATTGCAAGACCCCGCACTTTTCTCCGGGGTTGGGTTTGGGTTTGGGGAGAAGGAAGCCATGGCTTTTTGGGGGAGAACACATTTTGGCTTTCATTTGTAAGAGTCCAAACCAGTTCGGCTTTGGAAGTTGCAAGGAAGTCGTGGGTCCGAAAGGCGGGACCTTGGCTCAAGGGAAGGCATGGCTTGGGCCTCTGAAAGGATCGGTCAAGAGTCATTCAGTTTTCGAGCGGGTTGTTTTGGATCGAGTTGCAAAGACAAAGCCACGAGAGACCGCACATTTGGGGGTTTGCGGTTGCAACTCACTTCCTGAGTTCCTGGGCTGCACACTCGGGAAGGCCACCTGAGTGGTAAAGAAAAGTTCAGACCTCTGTTGGGCCATCCACTCAAGTGAGGCAAAGGGAAGCCAAAGGTCAACCTTCAAAGGGCGGTTTCTTCTTAGAGATTCTAGGTGGCGTTGGGCAGACATTGCACCAGCAGGTCTGGTTCGATGACCTCATGACTCGCAACAACCAAGCCAAGACCACTCCCAGCGTCGACCTGCATCTCAGACCAGCTGGAGAGCGGGAGCCGCAAAAGGCCGAATGGTTTTCTTCGGGTTTTGATCAATATTGTATTGACAAACTACGGGTTCCCCGCGGGCAAGTAAAGCAAATGACTCGAAACAACCGCCGTCCGCGGCTCTAAGTGGACTTCAAGGGGTCCTTTTCTCTTTTTCCCCACCAACCAGGCAAAGGCGAAAGCGTCCCACGCGCATGTTCCACAACGTCCCTTCCCATTTTCCCTCGAGTCAGTTCCCTTCAATGTGACGTGCGTTCCGAAACCAACCCAGCGGGTTCTTCGGGAGGAGTGAGACCGTCGTTGCTCCCCCCCCCCTGCGATATGGGTGGGCTCCCTCGGCGTTCTTGAAGCCACACGAGTCTTCGCGTCCTGTGAAATGTGGCAGAGAAAGGTCCCCAATTAGAGTGAAGCATCCAGGTGTCGACTGGAAGAGGCCCTGCTTTCCCCTTGTCCAGTTGGTTATTCCCCAGCAGCTGAAAGCTTTGGGGTCTCAGCCCAGATAGGCTCCGGGGTGGTCCGGGGCGGCCCTGAGGTAAGGTTCCACGAGGGTTCCACCAGCGTTCCACCAGCGTTCCACAAGGGTTCTACGAGGTTCTGCGAGGCACTAAAAAGAGCACCTCATGCTGTTGGGGATATCACCTGAGCTTATTTTGTTCAAGGCACCGTTGAGTGCTAAATTACGACAAAGTCATGGGCTGTGGGAAATGGGTATCGGGACCCTTTTCCCACTTTTGTGATACTGGAATCACATGTTGAAACCTTTGAAAGGTTTGTTTCCTTCCCGGTGACAGAGCCAAAGTAACCGTTAGAACTTTGTGGGCACTGAGAGGACGGATGCTTTTGTTGGCCGATACCCTGCCTTTTCCGAACGGCAAATGGGGCTTTGGCCCATTTGCAAGAGCTACCAACAGGCCCGGGCACATCTCACCCCCCACCCGGCCCATCCCCAAAGACATACGGTTCTTTCCGCAGCTTCCTTGGCTGTGAATGCAACCATGGTTGGGGTTGTCCGCCTTGGGCAACTGTGGTGGTATAACTCATGCCTGCCTTTCTGTGTTCCGGGGGGGGGCAAGCCTCACCATTTTCCCGTGGGTTGGTTTCATGTTGGGTTGCCTTTGCCTATCCAAAGAGGCTGTCAAAACCGGTTATCCAAGGTGTTAGCTTACAGGTTTGCGTTGAGATGACGCCCCCCAATTCCCTTGATCCCGTGAATTTGCGCGCGTTTTTAGTGCGAGTCAGAATTTAAGCCCTGCCCATGTGACACCTCACTACCGGCATTGATGCCGTCTCCTGGGTCCTTTTCAGGCAACAATGCGCCGGGTGTTCGGTTTGTGATTTTAGGGAGAACTTCCTGGGCTTCTTTTCTCAGACTCAGAAAGCCACAAACCCAGGGGAAACAGCCAGTTGTTGAAAAGGAAGGTTGAAAAGAAAGGGGACCCGTCCCCTGGCATGAGGTACTCCCGGTTGATTTCCCAGGTATGTGGCGGGCTTCCCCTGCCAGTCCTTTAGCAACGCTGGACTGGGGCGAGGCTTCAACGACAAGCGCGGGGAGGCGTGAACGGCAAGGTGGGTTGTTCAGAGTCCCCATAGGTCCCCCCCCTTCATTCGTTATGTGAACGGGAAATCGAAAGGGAACTTTGAGGGGAGCCAAACATGAGGCAGGTTGTGGTGAGCAAGGGCCTTTTTGAAGGGACATTGTTTGACAGCATTGGTTGTTTACTTGCCGTATGTGCCGCCCCTAGGTGATGTATGGAGGGTGGGGGGCGGCACCCAGAAAAAAAACCGCTCCCCAAGCATTTTCCCCCCTTTCCAACTGAATAGGGGCTTGGAATGTTGAAGCAGGAGGCACACGGGTCCGTGTGTATTTCCCTTGTTTGGCTGCTTGAAGTAGCAATCATGGGGGGCCCTTGCGCACGTTTTCTTTGGGTTTTGAAAGGTGTCCACTGTGGCAACATTCGGCCAGGGGGTGGGCATTCCACGTGTGGAGCTTCTTTTTTAAGCATGCCTGCTTTGAAGGGGGCAATAAAACACAAACCCCGCCAGGCACCCTACCAGATCACCCACGCTTGGGAAGCCCGGAATAGGGGTGAACAAGTCACTCC